CTATCCAAAGTGCTCCTTAGTTCTTGTAATGCCTTCAAAATAAGCAGCCTTAATGTTTTAACTAATTAAATACTGTTATTGTTATTCAAACAGAATCAGCACTGGCAAACCCCAAGACAGAATACAGTTTCACTGCATCTTTCACATAAAACCAACTATTTTTAAACTTGTATCTTAAAAAAAAAGGAGCAAACGGAGAAAACATTGTTTAATCTGGACACACAGGTTTATTGCTTCTACTCTTTATTTGAATCTAGCTTATCTCCAGTTTACACTTCTGTCTACAAAACAGGCAGTTCACCAGAGACCTGGGCACATGGATAACCTTCCTAACAGAAATCACTTCACCCAAATACAAGGAGACCATTCATACCAGCAGCACTGCTGTGAATCAGAGCATTGCACAATCAGACCATGCAGGACTGGCCCAGAACAGAGGAAGTGCAGACTATAAAGGTCAGCTGAACTGAGCAGCTTCCACAGCTCATGGAAGAGCTGGGTGTTCACTCCTGGATTTTTGATTTGCATATAATCATTTAATTGTATTTTAATTAATCTGCTTTCTGTGCTGAAAGGCCAGCATGGGGGGTAGCTAATAGGCACCTCCAGAAAGAAAGTAAAACAGGAGATGCAAGTGCTGTGGACCAGAGAAACATTTATTCCAGCATCTGTATGGCCAGGAGAGCAGAGTCTGTGCTTCCTTGCCTTGATAAACTCAGCCCTGCCAGCAGCACTCAGCTCCAAAAACCTCTCTCCAGAGGGGACCAAATTGTGACACCCCTGGTCATCACAGAAGGAGAAAAAAAATGTACAACTAGTTTTATTTATTAAGTGAAGGGAAAGTACTCACCAAATAGTTTATTTCTCTGTCTGGTCTAATTACAAGTACACAGATTTTATAGGCTCCCCAGAGAAGTGGTCACAGCACCACGCCTGACAGGTTCAAGAAGTGTTTGGACAATGCTCTCAGGCACATGGGGTGATCCTTGGGATGTCCTGAGCTGAGCCAGGAGTTGGACTCCATGATCCAACTCAGCATAGTCTGTGATTCCATGATTTATATTACCACAGCATCTAGGAATCCTATTCCTAAAACAATTATGTGGAAAAAAGAGCGGAAAAGATCACAGCTATACAGTTATTTCACCTCAGAAGCTAGCAAGTATGTGCACTTGCTAAAGTCTCAATCCCGCACATGCATATATACCCAATTTTATCACTGAAAGCATTCCAATTTCAGTGGGACAATTTGCAAGTGGGTCTTTTTCAGTCGAACGACTAAATGTAAAATTAATCCAGGTGTTCCAATTTCCACTTCCAAGGCTAAACTTAATATAACGTCAGTCCTACAAAACATCTGTTAGTCACATTAGATACATTTGAAGGTTCAAGGCCACTGCTTCAAGGAAAGTCCATCGCTGACACAGCCAAATATTTAAGGATTAAAATAATGACTTTGAAGTTAAATCGACTGAAATATTCATTATTTATGTCCTAGGAGGTAAGGACCTTGCTGAATCAACACTTCTGCTTCTCATGTCTCATCTGATAGGAAACTGCTTTCATGTGATCTCAAATATCTCATAGAGATTAAGAAAAAAAAAGAGAAAGATCTATCAATTTCCCTATAAAAGATTGCCATAAGCATTTTCTTCTTGAGGTATTTCTCATCAGGATTCCTTTACCACACCTAGGAAGAAACAGGGTTTAACATTTAACGCAAAGGAGAAGAGCGCCCCTGCACCACGCAGGGGACAGCTTCCAGGAGGTGGGAAAGGAGAATAAACTCTTTCTGCCCATCCCTGGGCTGCCGGCAAGCGGGGACACGAGGAGGGGACGCAGGGATACAGGGAACCAGCCAAAGCACTGTGACACCGCCGCACACCGCAGGATGTGCAGGATAAACCCAAATTCCAGCCCACCCACCCCTGAACACCGACATGGATGTGTCCGGTGGGCGACAGCACCCAAAGCTGCGCCGGAGCGGACGGCAAAGGAGGCGGAGCGGTCACCAGAGGAGAGGGAGGCCACGCAGGACGGGCCAGTAATCCCCCCGGCTGTGGAATGCAGGAAAACTGGTGAACAAGCGCCCCGGGGCAAGCCCACAGAGCACCACCCGGCTTCCCCTCTGCCTCCGCCGCTCCTTCCTTTGCTTCCCCTTCCCTTTCTCCTTGCCCGCTCCCTTCGGGCTGCCCCGCCGAGGCCGCAGCCGATGGGGGCGCGGGGCGCTGCCCGGCCCGGCCGCTCACGGTACCTGGTGGTGGCCAGCACGGCGGGAGCCGGGCCGCGCTGCTCCATGGCCGCGGGAGGAGGTCCCGCCTCTCTTCCCGGGGCCGGACCCGCCGTCCTGCCGGATGTCAGGCGCCGCCGGCTCCGGTGCAAAACGAGCGGGGAGAAGAAAACGTCCGGCACGGGGAGGAAAACAGAAGCTCGGCTCGTAGTCGGCAGGATTCGAACCTGCGCGGGGAGACCCCAATGGATTTCTAGTCCATCGCCTTAACCACTCGGCCACGACTACACCGACGGGCGGGAGTGCCGCCGTGTGAGCCTGACTAACTCACTCCACAATTCCTCCTCCTTCCGGACCCAAACTGCCCTCAACTTCCCCCAAGCCTCGGTGAATGCCCGGGCGCTCTTCCTCCTCACGGGAAACAGCTCGCACGCACTCCCGCTGACACAACGGGCACGGCGCTGCTTCCCGAGGCACGACCATCCCCGCAGCCCCGCCACACGCCTCGGAGCGGCTGCGTGTTCCGAAGTTCATTTTGGGAAAGAAGAGGGAAGCAGCCGGTCCTTGTGCTGCCCCTGGGGCACCCGCGGCTCACCTGGGCTGCCCTGGTTTGTTTGCGGGCTGCTGGGCGTACCTGGGCCCTTGGTTATCCCGCGGCCTCTCTGCGCTGCCGGGCACGGCTCCTGCAGGGAGAAAAGCTTGGGAAAAAAAAAAAGCTTTGCACTGGGCACAGCTTCGTGGAATCACGGAATTACAAAGTCGCTGTGGTTGCAAAAGACCTAAAATCATGGGATCCAATCGTTTACCCATCCACTATGTTCACCACTAAACCATAACCCTAAGTGCTACAGCCACATATTTATTTGAGACACTCAGACAGCAACTCCACAACTTCCCTGAACAGCCTGTCCCAATGCCTGATCACCCTTTCAGTGTAGAATTTTTTCTCCTAATATCCAATTTAAATCTCTGTAGGTGCAACACGAGGCTCTGTCTTCATCTATCACTTGTTACTTGGGAGAAGAGACCCCCGCCTGGCTGCATCCTCCTTTCAGGTGGTTGTAGAGAGTGATGAGGTTCCCCCTGAGCCTCCTTTTCTACAGGTTAAAGGCCACCAGCTCCCTCAGCTGCTCCTCAACACATTTGTGCTCCAGACCCTTCTCACCAGCTCTGCTGTCCTTCTCTGCACAGACAGAAACCACAGCCAGGGAATATTATAAAAGTGATAAAAAACAGATGCTGATACTGCATCAGTGCAGCTGGCCTCCAAACAGGCTCAGCACCTCAACTGGGTGTGCAGCAGCTTTCTCCAGAGAGGAGCAGCCCTTGAAAGAGGACCTAGTGAGTAGATTGAGATTTTTCACCCTGGAGGAGTTTGGGAGTGATGAAAATGTCAAAATCAAGAGCGATCCAAAGTGGCAGACACAGAAAAATCTTTTGATGCTTGTGGTGAAACAAGAAATCTGGAACATGAAACCTACGAGTCAAAACAAAAGGGAGACTTCATAGGTGGTGTTACTTTCTAAATCCCCATTGTTTTCTCTCTCTGCCACTACAAACCTTTTGTTAAGCAGAGCGTAAACACCACCACCCAGCTGCAGCCTTTCTGGTACAGGAGTTGCGGTTTCCAGAAATGCTGCAAGCCACCAGAAAGTGCTTTTGGAACATTAATTGTTCTCATGTGGCCTCTGAAGGGTTAAAAAACCCTGGGGTTGAGTTCCTGAAAGCTTATAATGAATAGTTTTATGGCTAAACAAATTGCTTCTCTAATGGCATTTTTATTCCCATTTGACTTCCTGGATAATGCAATTTATTCAGATAGTAACAAGGAGTAAGCAGCTGGCAGTTTGCTATCTGAGACAACAAAAATAGAGCAGCTCATGAGCCCATGAGCTCCCACTGAAGCTTGTCATGCTCACTGAGCAGTGTCCTTCCAGATGTTGCCAAGTGCCGGTGAAGGGGCTGCAAAAGCTGGGGGTTTTCTCCCCAAACAGAAATGTCTGCTTGGCCCCAGTGAGCTGCCACTCTGTGTATGCTGCGTCTGTGCACCCACGGAGAAGTCTGAGCACTGCCTATTTACCTGATTTCCTAACAAGTCTTTTCATACAGGGCATTTTTATAACTCCACAGCCCATACCATCATAACATATGAATAAAAAACAAGTGCCCCAGTGGTGCTAACCTCTGAAGTTGTGGAAATAATCAGCTGATTTTCCCATATAGGTTAGGGCAAGGTCTGTTCAGATGGTGACTGTGAAGAGTGAACCTCTGCATCAAAGGTGGACACAGATCAAACCTGTCAGTAGAAAACTAACATGCCAATAGAGCTACCTGCAGGAGCCAGGCATCAATTTTCCTCTTTGAAAAGCAAGCTCCCAGAATACTTGAAGTTTGATTCCCATGTTGCTTTGGATGCTACACAGAAAATTTCTTCCACTTAACCAATTTTTTTACTCAATTAGCCACTGGAAACCCGCAGGGGAAAGCCTATGGGAGAATGTGTTGTCATTATATTACAAGGGTTCTATTATCATTACATTACAAAGGTTCCATATTGCCAGAGTTTCATACCTCCTTGATGTTTCTTGCAGGCAGCTCCTGCAGGCCCTGACTCTTCCTTGTCCTCACAGCAGCCAACTGACTCCAGCTCCCTCAGCCAACCAACCCACTCTTTTATAACACTCTTCTGACTGGCTATGGCCTGTTAACATCAGGCCTGCTCCTAATCCTCAGTAATTAACCCAGCTGCAACTCTTTAGGGGGTAAGATTACATTCTATACTTTATTTACTATATTCTATCCCCCTACAAGTATGTCCAAAGAATCTGAGGACCAATGCCAATAATAATCATCACTTGTAAACTTACATTTTCTTACCTACTACTTAGTTACCCTCAGCTATTTCTCTCTCTTTCATGGTCCCTTCTGCCTCAGTTAAATTCTTTATGAGCAAAGGAAAGACAAAGAAACTCTCTGAATTTTCAGGACTATTTTCTTTGAGATTTGTGGCTTTTTTTCCGTGCCTCTTAACTCTGCAGTACTGACGGGTATGGTATGTTGCTTGTCTTATTTTTATCCATTCTTTTTCGGTTTCATTTTCCCTTTCTTTCCATACCCTCAACAAACTCAATCAGCATATTCATGCAGTCTGTATTTACTAGCCTAATTTATGCATAGCCTCTGTAGCAAAACTATTAATTAATTTGCATAGAATGACTGCCTAAATAGAAATGCACGTTCTTTTACTGCAGGTATGTGTGGTACTGTACTAGACCCTCTGTGGTTTCTGCATAAATGAGGCAAGGCCAAAGATGACTGCTCCAAGTGAGAGAAGATACTCCAGGAAAAGGTAAGTCTGATTTCTGTCAAAAGCTTCTAGAAAGTGAAGGAAAAGAATGAGTGGGAGACAAATAATTAAGCTCAATAGGAGGTTGAAGGAGGTTTTTGTTGTCTTCAAGATGTCTGAGCATTGGGAAGTGTCCATGTAAGAGGAACTCATGCTGAAAATGGTATTGTCCAGGAAGGCTAAGATATCTCTGCGTACACAGAGGTGATGGAGAAGCCAGGTTTTAAACAAAGAGTTTATGGGAAGATGCACGTAACCTCTTTAACTAGAGGTATTGCTGTTTCATGAGTCAAGTGTCTGTTTCTGCTTTTACTACCACCACCATAAAAAATCTTTTAGCTGTCATTTCACAGAATCAAAAGGAAAATTAGTTATTCTTAGAACTCAAAACTCAGATACCTACTACAAGTAAATCCCAACTGCACTACAATATCCTTATAAATGTAATGATTTTGGGACACCTTTTGAACATTTGGGTTCAGTATGGTTCTGCTGGTCTGGGAATCCCTACTACATAACTATTTTATGCCTTGTGTCCTGATCTGACTTCTTGATAATCTTGGTTTTTCACACTGACATAGTCTAGGTCTCCACTTTACCCAGTTGCTTATCACTTTGTGCTATGAAACAAGAATATTTTCCCTCAGAGCTACTATGTCCAGCACTGGTAGGGCTCTCAGAGCAAAGGGCTCCTGAGGCTCAGCAGCAGCTGGGAAATGAGTTTATATAATTTTCCCCCACTTCTCTCTTCCCTTCCATGACCAATATTTCTACTCTCCTTCCACAGTACCTCTGCTCTTCTAACCTCTGACTACACACAAGAGCAGGAACTGCAGGTGTTTCCTTCAACACAAGGAAAAGCACTGAAAAAGAGTGTAAAGAGGGAGAGGTGGTTCTTGTGAAGCTCTTTCCAGGTGAGGTGGGCATCCCCTGCCACCCTGCACTGCTCTCTCATCAAACCTCTGCCCTGAAGTGTCACAGATCAGGGAGATCTGGCTTTGGGCCCCCTCCCAAATCCTGCTCCCAGACGCTTGGCACAGGCCCATGGTGTGTGGGTATTACAGACATAATGCTCAGACACTCAGCTGAAAGTGTTTAGGCTCAGGGACAGCAGCACATCAGTTTTGTTCGCCTCTGATCCGTTTTCTGTCCACTAGAGAGCACTCAAATACCACCTATGGACACGGGATGGGCACTGGTGCTGACTGCAGGCCCCAGCTGTGTCTCATCGGGCTGGTTTTGCATGCAGCAGAGTTAATTGTCTTCATAGCATCTGCTAAACCGTGGCACTCCCCCTTTGGGAGCCCACTGCCCACCCCTGTTTGGCACCATTCACTCACACACAATCCCAGCTCCAGGGTAACCCTCAGCTCATACTCACAACCAGTTACACTGGGATTTTCTACAGAGCTAAAGTCAGTCAGTGATGTGTTTGCACTTAGGACTGATGTCTGTACTTACTTTTGATACACAATTTACTCCCAATTGTTAACTTTCACTGACACACAGCCTAGAGGGGTTGTCTCAGCCGCTTTCCTCAACACGGAAGCAGGGGGATCTAGTGGTATGAAAAAGGGGAAGAATTGCCACCTGTGCTTGAGGACTGCTCACCAGCCATCTCCAGCAGGCACTGACGTCCCATAAAGGGTTAAAGCAAGGAAGAAAAACCTCTCAGAGCCTGTTAGAATATTGAGTGATTTGTGGCTGGGGTCTGTTCATCCTGTTCAATGCAAATGGACTGCAGTCCTACAGTTTAATCCCTCTCTGTTCTTCACAGGGGCACGGGGAGATGAAGGGTCTCCATCAGGGTCAAGGTGTGACCCCATGAACTCATCCCAGGGTCATGTCTGTCTCCTGTACACTGAGCAGGGACCGGCTCCTGCAGCACTGCATCCCTGCCTGGCTGTGATTCTTGGCAGCTCATGGATTTGCTTTTCATCTCCTCAAAGCAGCAGGAGAACAACAGTGGGTTTATAAGCCCAGAGGAAATTGTCCACCAAGTTTTGAATCCCTGGCAGAGGACTCTAGCTGTAATCATGGCAGGATGAGGGGAAATCAGAGCCCTGCTTAGGGTATAGTAAATAAAATGTGGGGGGAAAAGCAAGGGCAAATGAACATATTTAAAAACAAAATAAATCGGCTATGGAAACACAGTTTAAAAGCTGAACATGGAATTTTTTTCCAGCCTTGATCTGGGAGAGATGCAATATAATTTCATTACTGAAAAAGGCTGTGCTAAGAGTCCAGTGAGATGATCACTCACTTATCACTCCTAACACTATTTGTTTTCAGATGACAATTACAAAACCCAGATGTGAACCACTAGGAGATTTTATATTAGGACTGGGCTTCTCAGTGAGTTTCAAAGGTAGCCAAAATGGTAGATTTAAAGTTCACTCTTGTTATATGATGTGGTAAGGTTGTTGATAGCCTGTCATGGCAATCTTTTAATCTACACACCTCCTAAACTCAGTATAGATTTATTCTGGAGAGAAAGGAGCAGAGTTATAGAGTGTTATTCATTATGCCTCATGCTTTCCTCCCTGCTTTAAACATTTAACCTGTAATATGATGAGCCACATGTCAGGAATAATCTAGTATAAACCATAGGTAATCCCTACTGAAAGATAAGCCTGGCTCTTGACCTGCCGCAGCCCTGGAATTAAAATTCCACCTCTCTTAAATTTGGGTGTACTAGGTAAATCATGGATCAGTTTCATGGTAGCCAGTGAGGAAGAAAAGATGAGATTTCCTGGTTTCCCTCAGTTTAATAAAACCAAACCCTAAAATGCAGAAAGTTATCTCTATTATTCAAAAACCACATCTACAGTAGAGAGATACAGTGATTTTAATTTTTTTCCCCCAAAGAAACCATAGGTTTTGGGTAGTTAAGTCTTTACATAGCAGCAATGGAAAGTATTTCCCCAGTCCAGGAAAAGTGAAGGAACAGTCAATAACTGCACAAGTTTCCACCTAAATATGTTGCCAAGATTTTCAAGTCTGTCTTCACCACACACCTGACCGAAGCCCAAGGATTTTACCATCACTTCCCTCACTCCCACCAAATAAGCTCTGGAGGCGTTTATGTTTGTGCTAAGTTATTTAGTTGGAGATGAGCAAGAGCCCAAGGCCTGCTTGGTTTTAGTGTTGGCTCCTGGTTGGTCATTACCGTGTGAAAGTGTGGAAGTGACTCCCTGTATGCAGATTCCTGACTGTGTAAGGAAGTGTAAAGGCTGGCTGAGAGTGGTGGAGACCCAGGCTTCTCTGCTGAACTGCCCACCAGGGCGCAGTGTGAGCCATCCTGGTCAGAGCTGGCCAGGTTTTGTTCCTGGATTTCGTTCTAAAATTAGGAAACATTTCAGGGTCATTGTTGAAACAATTCCTCCATTTTTTATGAGTGATTCTGGACCTAACTGAAATTCTCCCAAAAGGAAAAATTTCAACTTTCGGAATTAGCAAGCAAAACAAAAAGGGCTGGGAGGTGAAGGGGTGTTAGTATGTTATTCTTCAGCACCTCTTCCTAAAAAGATGTGTGCCATTGCTCTGTCTGTTGCTCCCTGTATCTGCCAGTCTCTGTGGCTGCTCCCCACTGGAAAACACTGCAGTGACTCAATGACCCATTTTAACCAAGCACAACACAGGAGGGAATGGCTGGACAAATTTCAGCTCCTCCAACCACTGTAAAAACCTGGCAGCTCAGTCGGTGAGAGGCCAGGATTTGTGTCCCTCTAAGGGAAAAACCAAGGCATAAACTCAGCAGATACCTGTTTGATTTGGCTCACCAGCCACTTCTCGTATACCTCCAATGTGATGGAAATAAAATGCAAGTACAATGCAGGCTTTTTGGTAAACTGAGTCACATTGCTTCTGCTGCATTTTTTTCAAGCCAAGATAACTAATTTGGCAGATGCCATGAGAGCCATTTCAATGGCCCAGCCTTTTCTAGGTGACAGCAAGCCAGGATAGAGCGACCCAGTTGTCCAAGGAGATCTGCAAGATGCCTCTGTCTCAAAGCACCATCAATACAACCCATCTCATCAACCAGCCATTCATACACAGCTGGAGTAGGAAGGTGAGCATCTTTCCAGGGCATTGCTGTTTCTTTCAGGAGCTGAGTTTAGCCCACAGATACTTTACAACAAGCATTTTGAGTCAGATGCTCTGATGCTTACCTAGAAAGTGGCGAACAGATTCTGGGTAATATGGACATGGTTATTTACATTCATGGGTTTTTAATTAAGATATTTGTGGCTGCAATTTTAAAGGTGTTATGAATCAGTAACTACTTGCTTATCTAGTGTCACACAGGGAGATTATTCTTGCTTTAAATTAGATTTTGACCTGCACAGCATCTTGCTCTGTGCTGATCTGGTAGACTGGCTTTGTAGTCAATAGACAAAAGGAAAATTTCTGATCCAAGGAATGGCACAGCTGATGTGTGTCTAACAAATCTCATGTTGTAGATCAAGTGAAATGAATCTATCCTAAATACTTTATCACATTCCTCCAAAACAGTGAACACTAAAGTGGTCCTCCATGGGTGTTGGAGATTTTAGAGAAGTGGGTGATTGTGCTTCAGAATGACAGAGGGTAAAATGTCCCCAGAAAGAGCTGTAGCCTTTTAGGGTACAGTGGTGTAGCAAACATTTTGGATATTTTTCTCATGAGTCAAGTTTTCAGTTTTCTCCAGTGCAAGAAGCAACCACCACCTGGTGAGAGAAACAATCATCCTGAGGAGAATGGAAATGAAGTCTCCTTGGGAGAGCACATTGTTCAAGCTGGTCCTACAACCAGTTGTTTTTATTCCTCGTTCATACGATGGAGCCTAAGCTGGAATCAGTCACTGGGGCATTCAAAGCTACAATTACAAAACCAGAATGGTAATTGCTACCTGATCATTGCACACTCTGGGGAAGTGGTCTGGGCAGTGCTGAACTGGGAAGTATTTTTACTGGGAAATGCAGGAATTGAAAAAAAAAGGCTGTTTGCATGGAAGGTGCTCTTCCTTCCTGACACTCCACCAGGAACATCCATTCCAATCCTGTGCAAGGTTGTAAATACAACTTTAGTATTTCCTCAGTTCTTTTCCCAAGCTGCCCACAAGAGCAATCAGGGACTTGTTGCAGAAGGGAGAGAAAAACTAAGGTGGGAAGGAGTGTGGCTGTCCCAGGATCTCCACCAGCCCTTCCCAAGGCAGTGTTCTTCAGTGCTCTTGCTGCCAGCTTCTCAGCTCCCCACCAAATACCATGGACCCAGACCTTTCTTCCAACAAGCAAAACCACTGTTTCTTCGCTGGCTAAGGTGCAGCCCAGCCATGCTGGAATAAGCTTTTGAAGGAATGAAGGCAGGGCCACGGACAATCCTGACAATGACCTAGGTTTTCTATACACAAGCCTGTCAGGTACCCCGCCCTGATCTCCAGGGTCTCCAGTCTTTCATTTATACAATAAAATTAAATAATGCCAGGGAGCCAGCTCAGCATTGTCACAGAGTTATGAGGGTCTCTGGTGTGTTTTTGGACTCAGACCCTGATGAAGAGTTCCTGGGGCAGTTCAGTTGTTTACAGAGGCTGGGGACCTTTCTCAGCTGACAGCTTGTACATCACCATCAGCCTTGGAGATGATGGGAGTTTATCCATGTGGACATAGGCTGATCCACAGCACGTGACCCTGGTACCAATGAGTGTTCCTACCAACATTTCGTGTACATGTATAGATGTGGCCCAAGTGGCTACCTCTACTTGCACAATTATGTCTGCCTGAAGAGCTCATGAGCTTTATATTCATAACCTCTCTTATAAATATTGCATCCACAAGCCAGTACTGTGCAGAGGAAAAAACTGTGGAGAAGACTCAGAGGAAAAAGCTGCAGAGAAGATTCAGATCTGGGTCCATTTGCAGTTTCCACATTGGTAATTCATCAAGGCCCAGAATAACCTTTAAGTGTCCTTGTGCCTTTGACTCTTATAAAAACTGTCAGCCAAGACTGAATCTGCATGCAGGGTGGGGTGAGGCCCTACAGAAAGGACAGAGGCAGAATTTAACATCTCCTTGTTCCAAGTGTGAAGTGCTGGTTAGCAAATCAGCAGCTGCCATCCCAACAATCATTTCATTTCATTTCATTTCATTTCATTTCATTTCATTTCATTTCATTTCATTTCATACAGGACTCAGTCATATTAAGTATTTTGAGCTGTACTTTTCTTCTGGACACAGATGAAGGAGCCCAGAATGGCATATTTTGACTTACTAACCTTGAGATCAATGTGTGAACCACAGAAATAAGCAGACCTCCCTGTACACTGCTGAAGTGACCCACACACGGTGCTCTGCTCTTCAAGGATTTCTTCAGTGTCAGAAAGTCCATTTTATTTTATTTTTTTCCTACTAAATTCTGATGATCTTTTCAAAAGATCTTTTCTTTTCATGTGCTCAGGTGCTAAAATAAGTACCTGGGGTTTCTCTGCAGGATGCTCAGGACTCACGGAATCATTTAGGTTGGAAAAAGTCTGTAGACATCGTGCTGGTCAATGAGGCAGAAGGTTAGAAGCCCCCCCACTTTTCTGAGGCAGCAGCTGGAGGTCTGGATGTCTCAGGTAGCACCATATATTCACATTAAAGAATCTAGTATTGTCTCAGGTGCCTGAACCTGTGCATAAGTGTTCTGATCAGTAAGGACAGACAAGTGGGCAAGGCAAAGCAAGTGTGTTGCCTGCATTAAATATAAATCATAGAATCATAAAAAGGCCTGGGTTGGAAGGGACCTTAAATATGATCTTGTTCTCCCCCACTACTGTCATGGACAGGGACACCTTCCACCAGGTCAGGTTACTCAGGGTCCCATCCAACCTGACCTTGAACACTTCCAGGGACAGGACATCCACAGCTTCTCTGGGCAACCTGTGGCTGTGCCTCACCACCGTCACAGTAAAGAATTTGTTCCTATCATCAAATCTAAATCTCTCGTCTTTTAGTTTAAAACTATTCCCCCTTGCCCTGTCTGCACGTATAAAAAATGGCTCTGTTTCTTTTCTGTGAGCCCCCCGTAGGTACTGTAAGGCTGCAGTGAGGTCCCCCCAGAGCCTTCTCCAGCCTGAACAGCCCCAGCTCTCTCAGCCAGTCTGCATAGGAGAGGTGCTCCACCCCTAGGATCATCTTTGTGTCCTACTATAAATAACAGGTCTGTGCCTTTCTTGTTGAGGCACAAACAGATGCTACCCAAATACTGATGTCAGCCTACACCAGCTTGTCTGCAGAGAGCTGAGATAGGCAGTTGTGAACACACAATCAAGGTCATGCCCAACAGGGCACTTGACATTCCACACTGATGTGTGTCATTGGCTCCATCCATGCAGCTGTCCCTGTCCAGAGGCATGCCTTTAA